CTCACCCTCTTCCTATTTCTATAACGTAATGGAGAGATGTTCTGTAGTCCAGCAGACAAGAACTCTGTGCTGAGCGCTGACCACTCAACAGCTTGGAATTACAGTGCAGCAGAGGCAACATTGTCAGCTCACTGCAGGAAGTTAAGATCTCACTGGATTTCTGACATTCAACAAGTAGTTTATTTTTTTCTTGCAGCATTTCTAAAGAGACAAAACATGGGTAAATGTGCATGTATTGCAGAAATGTACTGAATAGGTTTATTTATTTGTTTTGGCCCAGACATACACGTTAAGGATTACTACACCATCCTTTGACCCTGATTGCTGGTCTTTTTATTGCTTTCTTTTCCAGACAGCATTTGCAGGATCCATAACTTGCTGAACAGCTGCCAGAAAATGTAAAACATGCAGAAAAAGCTCATGAGGGACCATAACTTCATGCTCTGGGTTTAAGCCAGGTCTGTCCATGACCTAATATAAATATAAAATATCCAGGCTCTGAACCTCAGTAATCAAGACAGGGGCAGTATTGTTAGGCAAATATGTCTTTGGTGCCAGTGCTTTTATGGCAGGAATCCTGTTGTGAAAGCATTGCATCGTAAATGCATCGAAGCGTGTTTTCATAACTTTTACATTTTATGGATGATGAGTCCTGCCCATTATTTGTTGTGTATAAAAAAGAATTCTTTATTTTTAAATAGTAAAACATCAGAACCCCCAACCTTCTGAGAAAGGAAAAAGAACAGAATATTTAGGCATTGGACAGACGCTTTACCACAACACAGGTCATGTAAAATATAAGAATGATCATTTAAATCCACTGTGGTTTTTATCAGCTCTACTTCCCTTTTATATTGGGAATCAGAAGCAGAGGGATCTGCTTTAAAAAGAGTAGCCCCTCTAAATTAGGGACAGTTGGAAGCTATGAATCATGGCACGGTCATTAAACATAACCTGGAAGGATGTAAGCTTTGAAACCTATACCTATAGAACCGAGGCTGAGCAGCATGCTTGGTTCCATGGGCAGACTACCGGGGATTAAATAGGGTTTTTATTTTGTCAAAGTGCCAGGTGGAAGTACAGTTTTTGTTGCCTGTAGGAGGAAATCAGATCTTCCCGGTAATTCTTCCACTGCTTACCACAGACATTTTGACATCTAGGTCCTACCAGTAGACCCATTTATTAACTGCCGAAAACCCCCCCCAAAAACGGTTACCCACAGATACCAAACAGATTCAGATTTCAAAGGATAGCTGGACCATTTGAACAGTTGTTCTTTGTTTAGCACGCTCACCCCCATGATTACAGCATGTTGTATAAAATAGTTACCTTCTTCCACATTTCACTGTTTGGCCCTGCCTGGGGCCACATAGCCATTGCTTGAAAAATGTCTTTGCCAGGTCCTCTTCTTACTTCCATTATGCGCTGTTGCCCATTCATATCTTTGGGTGAGCTGTGCTCTGCTGGGTTTCAAGAGGCCACTATGAATAAGGTTCACCCATAGGAGAAACTTCCAGCGCTAAGGCAAAGTACTGGATTGCATTAACCCAATCCCCAGCAATAAATTAATCCCTAAAAGACCTTACCTACTTTCAAGTGCTTGAAGTATTGGTGCCAAAGCTATCAAATCTCTCCACATCATAGTGGTCACTCTATTGCTGTAACTGCTTGAAAAGTGTTAAGGTGTTACTAAACCCAGGACCCTGCATTTGCTATATCTGTTCTCCCACAGTACACATAACATGGAAATGCTATTATTTTAGTAAATACTAAATATTAAAATAAATTATATAAGTTCATACTAAATATTAAATACTGCTATCAGTGTCTGGCCGAGCACTGGTTAAAGCTTGTAGGAGGAGTTTTCATTCTACTCTGACTGTCCTATGAGGCTGCATGAGCCCTAACCATCTGTCTGTATGGACAGTGCTGATTGGCCCTGTGCCGAATACATGCATCCGCTAAACAAGCATGACAGTTCATGTAAAATTATCTGAGGGGACAAGCATGAAATTTTTTCTCGTAAGATAACAGAACAAACTATTTTAATTTTTTATTACAGTATTTTTCTGTGTAAAGCAAAAAAAACCAAGTAACCAAGACCCTGCATGCTTGGAAACAGAAGAATGCAATATTATATTTTGCGGGAAGTTGTATTCTGTCTTACTAGAATTTTTTGTAACTCTAGTAACCTATTAGTTTTCGATATAAGACTAGCATGGGAAAAAAAAAAAGATGATCATTCTCATAGTGTGCTCCAGGCTTAAGTCTACCTGTGCACAGAGTAACAATAATGCTATGAGATTTCTTTGCATAACGAACAGTTTTCACCCTATTACAGGGTAGAAAAAAAAAATAACAGACTTAGGTTGCATGTATACTGTAGCTGATAAACTCTCGTTTAGGAGCTTTACTGCGTTTTTTTTTTTTTCAGCAGCCCCTGAACTCTCCCTAATGTTTTCCTATGTATATACTATGTCATTTACAGGCAGTTGAGTTTACAGTCGTTTTTTTGAACGCACCAAATTTGCGTTCAGGAGTAGATTTTATCAGCATTTCAAACGCTTGTAAACGCGACTAACCGCATTTATAAGCATTTGCGTTTGGAACATTTTTTTAACTCTTACATTTCCAGATGATGTCCAGAGCCTTTTTTTCATCATGAAAAATGCATGAAAAGTGTTTTCCTGGTACTCAAATGGACCTGGTACACCATACTTTGAGGTTTTGCATGAAAGAAAATATGTTAGGCACTGCTGCTATAATTTCTGCACAGAAATGAGCTGGAACACATCCTAACACCACAAAAAAAAAAAAAAGACATAATCTCAACAAATACAGCTCTTTCTGCTTCTGCTCTCTCTATTTCTCTCAAAATGTCTGAAATAGTTAATTTTTTACTGTTTTTCAGTGCATTCTGGGCATTTTGGAAGGTCTCCTGTGGTTATCTTTAAAAAACGCTTCTAAACGCAAACGTTTATAAACACGCATAAACACGGCTAAACAGACGTTTTTTAACCTATGATTTCCAGCAGTCAGTTTCCATCGTTCAAAAGTGTCCCGTGTACATGGAGCCTTACTGGCAGGATTAACAGGGTATAAAATTGTTACACAGGGGACCCAAAAACTTCTCTGTTGGCCTACTACAAGACCACATGAGATATACAATTTTTGATTTTGGCCATAGTTACACTTTAGGGCAACACAAACATTCCTCTACTTTTTCAAGCCATCTCAGTTCACTAGGTAATGCTCAGCTACTCCCTCTGTGTGTGTCTTTTGGAAATGCAGCTTTTCCAGTTAATTTTGCAGTTGAAGAGACTCCGTCTTTATGTGTTGCGTAAATGATGGCTTCATTCATCTGAGATGAGCCATTTTTCAAATGTATCCTATATGGGAATTTAATGACTCATTTGTAACTCTAGCAGGAGCTGTGTAGAGGAGTGCCTGACAGCTAAGCAGCTGTACTCCACTATCTTTGTCTAGTCCCAACCACTGGACAGCCCAGGATTGCTGGTCTGGCTGAACATTGTTACTTGCAATGAACAAGCTGTTCTCGTCATCTGGGTGAATTCCTTTGTAACTTAGAGGAAGACATACAAACATTGAAGTATCTATTGGCAGTGCATAGGCCTTAGACATATTATTTATATATCTCCAAATTTACAGTAGAAATTAAAATCTCACATCCATTAACTCTTGAAAGCTCTGAAAATGTTATGCTTTATGTTAGATTCCAGGTACATTCTATCCAATCTTATATAGTATTAGGGCCCCATATACACAATGAGAATCGTCCGGGTTTTTTTTTTGTTTTGTTTTTTTTTGCATGCTAGTATCATATCAAAATAACGTGATTTCATTTACTGTTAGCTCAACTTTAAGAGAGCAAATTTTCCAAGGCTGAGAACTGCTCTCCAAGACTAAGACTGGGAGGGAATATTGGCATTGATGAACACAACACAGACATGGGAGTTCTTCAAAAAGACTGAACACACTTCAAAATATATTCTTATGGGCAACAAGTTTAAATCAAACCTATGTGGCTTACTGCCAAAGTTTAAAAAGCTATAGATAATAAGAAAAGAGCTTTTATTAAATATAAAAATGAGGAATAAACATTACAAAGGATATAACAGAATATGCAAAAAGGAAATCAAGGATGCAAAAATTGAAAACAGATTGCAAAAGATAGCAGGACAAACACCCAAAAATTCTTCAAATATATTAATAGTAAAAAGGTCCGGTCCAAGTACTGTATTTTTCGCTCCACAAGACGCACCTGACCATAAGACGCACCTAGATTTTAGAGGAGGAAAACAGGAAAAAAAAATATTCTGAACCAATGGACTGCAGACATAGTACAGGAGATGACCAGAGACTGCAGACAGTGCAGGAGATGACCAGAGACTGCGGACACAGTGCAGGAGATGACCAGAGACTGCGGACACAGTACAGGAGATGACCAGAGACTGCGGACATAGTACAGGGGATTACCAGAGACTGCGGACACCGTACAGGAGATGACCAGAGACTGCGGACACCGTACAGGAGATGACCAGAGACTGCAGACAGTACAGGAGATGACCAGAGACTGCGGACATAGTACAGGAGATGACCAGAGACTGCGGACACAGTACAGGAGATGACCAGAGACTGCGGACACAGTACAGGAGATGACCAGAGACTGTGGACACAGTACAGGGGATTACCAGAGACTGCGGACACCGTACAGGAGATGACCAGAGACTGCGGACACAGTACAGGAGATGACCAGAGACTGCGGACACAGTACAGGAGATGACCAGAGACTGCGGACACAGTACAGGAGATGACCAGAGACTGCAGACACCGTACAGGAGATGACCAGAAACTGTGGACATACTACAGGAGATGACCACCCAAAAATTCTTCAAATATATTAATAGTAAAAAGGTCTGGTCCAAGTACTGTATTTTTCACTCTACAAGACGCACCTGACCATAAGACGCACCTAGATTTTAGAGGAGAAAAACAGGGAAAAAAATATTCTGAACCAATAGACTGCACACACAGTACAGGAGATGACCAGAGACTGCAGACACAGTACAGGAGATGACCAGAGACTGTGGATACAGTACAGGAGATGAGCAGAGACTGCAGACATACTGCAGGAGATGAAGAGAGACTGCGGACATAGTACAGGAGACGACCAGAGACTGCGGACATAGTACAGGAGACGACCAGAGACTGCGGACAAAGTACAGGAGACAACCAGAGACTGCCGACATAGTACATGAGATGACCAGAGACTGCGGACACAGTACAAGAGATGACCAGAGACTGAGGAAATAGTACAGAAGATGACCAGAGACTGCGGACATAGCACAGGAAATGACCAAAGACTGCGGACATAGTACAGGAGATGACCAGAGATTGCGGACATAGCACAGGAGATGACCAGAGACTGCGGACATAGCACAGGAGATGATCAGAGACTGCAGACATAGCACAGGAGATGACCAGAGACTGCAGACATAGCACAGGAGATGACCAGAGACCTTCGTGGAGTTGTCCTTCCCCTCCCTCTCTGAAATCTTCTGGGACACGTGACAGGTCCCAGAAGATTACGGGGCCATTCACAAAGCGCAGCGCTTCTCGCGCATGCGCAGTGGGCATGGGCACCCGGCTGTGACAGCTTGCGGCTTCACAGACGGGTGCCCATGCCGGCACCGGGGAGAGAAGACTAAGGACACTGCTGGACCGAGGAACAGGTAGAACCACTGGAGATCTGCAGAGTAGAGCCGAGCGGCTGGCTCGGTATTCTAACACGGGAGGAATACTGGGCCGGCTGCACCATAAGATGCACAGACATTTTCCCCCTTTACAAAATAATCTAGAGAAGACAAATTTATTAAATACCTTCTTCAGCTCTGTGTATACAAAGGAGCATGGGGGAGCTCTTGTCCATAATGGGCATGGTATTGACACAGCCCCAGATGATCCACATTGGCTCACAATTGATATGATCCAGAAATATTTAGACAGAATAAAGGTGAATAAAGCACCTGGACCGGATGGCATAAACCCACGGGTCCTTAAAGAATTGAGCTCTGTCATTTCAAAGGCATTGTTTCTAAGGACTCCTTAATGACTGGCATAGTACCACTGGATTGGTGTAAGGCCAATGTGGTGTCTATATTTACCACCACCACCTCCCGCCCGCCATATAAGGAAATTACGGGTGCAAGGCGGTTCTCTTGTTCTGGAAGGATGTCATATGACGTCCTCCCACTCTAACTGTGCGTGCAGGGCTTCGGGAGAGTGCAGAGCGGCGATCAGTGGTGCGCTGTGTCCCTCGAATACAGCGGATCACTGATCAATGGAAAGATCTGAAGACGTCGGAACGGTGATGTGATCAGCTGTGTCCAATCACAGCTGATTGCATGTAAATAGGGAAATGCCGGTTATCGACATTCCTCTCCTTACGGGCTGTCACGCTGACAGCTCGATAGGAGAGCCAGTAATCAGCATTCCTCAGAGGGGACATGATGATCAGTGTAGCCCCAGCAGTGACACCTGTCCGTGTCCATCAATGCCAGCTGTCAGTGCTCATCAATGCCACCTGCCAGTGCCCATCAGTGCCACATATCAGTGCCTGCCAGTGCACATCAATGCCACATATCAGTGCCCATCTGAGCTGCCTTTCAGTGTCACCTATCAGTGCGCATCAGTGCCACCTATCAGTGCCATATATGAGTGCTGCCTTTCAGTGGCCATCAGTGATGCCTGTCAATGCCCATCAGTGCCACCTATCAGTGCCCATCACTGCAGCCTCATTAGCACACATCAGTGAAGGAGAAAAATCACTTCTTTATTAAATTTTATAACAAAAACTAAGAAAAAACTTTTTTTTTTTAAATGTTTTCAGTTTTTGGTTTGTTTAGCAAAAAATAAAAAAACCCAGATGTGATTAAATACCACCAAAAGAAAGCTCTATCTGTCTCAAACAAAAATATATATAAAAAAAAAATATTTTAAGCAACAGACAGCATGGATTCATGAAAGACAGAAGTTGTCAAACAAATCTGATTTCTTTTTATGAGGGGGTGAGCAAAACCATGGACAGAGGGGTGGCGGTGGACGTGGTATACTTGGATTTTGTAAAAGTGTTTGACACAGTTCCCCACACACGGCTAATGTGTAAGGTAAAGTCTACAGGCTTGGAAAAATCACTATGTAAATGGATAGAAAACTGGCTAAAAGATCGTATTCAGAGAGTAATGGTTAATGATTCATACTCTGAATGGTCTAGGGTTGTCAGTGGTGTACCCCAAAGTTCAGTGTTGGGACCCTTACTTTTTAAGATATTTATAAATGATATAGGGTCTGAGATTAACCACAAGCCTACAGGGCACTTATATCCCCCTTCCTGCCCAGGCCAATTTCCAGCTTTCAGCGCTGTTGCACTTTGAATGAAAATTGCGCGGTCATGCAACACTGTACCCATATGAAATTTTTATAATTTTTTTGTGACAGAGAGCTTTATTTTAGTGGTATTTAATCAACTCTGGGTTCTTTATTTTTTCTTAAACAAACCAAAAACCACTGAAAATTTTGAAAAAAAAAACGTTTTTTTTCTTAGTTTTTGTTATAAAATTTTGTAAATAAGTGATTTTTATCCTTCACTGATGTGCGCTAATGAGGCTGCAGTGATGGGCACTGATAGACTGCACTGATGGACACTGATAGGTGGCACTGATGAGGTGGCACTGATGGGCATTGACAGGCATCACTGACGGAGCACTGATAGGCGGCACTGACTGGCACTGATAGGCGGCACTGACTGGCACTGTTAGGCGGCACTGACTGGCACTGATAGGCAGCACTCCTAGGTGGCATTGATTGGCATTGATAGGTGGCACTGAAGGGTGACAGTGAAAGGCAGCTCAGATGGGCACTGATATGTGACATTGATGTGCACTGGTAGGCACTGATATGTGGTACTGATGGGGGCACGTGGCACGTGGCACTGACAGCTGGCACTGCTGGGGCTACACTGATCATCAGGGTACACTGATCATCAGTGTTCTGATGATCAGTGTACATGTCTCCTCCGCGGAATGCCGATTACCGGCTCTCCTCTCCTCTCGAGCTGTCAGCGTGACAGCTCGTGAGGAGAGAAATGTCAATAACCGGCATTTCCCTGTTTACATGTGATCAGCTGTGATTGAACACAGCTGATCACATGACTGAGCCGACATCTTCAGCTCTTTCCAAGGATCGTGATCCGCTGTGTCCGAGGGACACAGCGCACCACTGATCGCCGCCCGGGAGCCGCACATGTGCGGTTAGAATTGGAGGACGTCATATGACGTCCTCCCAGAATGAGAGAACCACCTTGCGTCTGTCTTATTACTATATGGCGGGCGGGAGGTGGTTAAAAATACTGTTGTCTTTGCAGATGACACCAAGCTGTGCAGTGGAATAACGTCCTTGCAGGATGTCTCCAATTTACAAGCCGACCTCAATGCTCTGTTTAATTGGACAACTATGTGGCAAACAAAGTTTAATGTTGATAAATGTAAGGTTATGCACTTGGGGGCTAAGAATATGCATGCATCATACATACTAGGGGGGGGGGTACAACTGGGGGAATCAATGGTGGAGAAGGATCTGGGAGTTCTGGTAGATCACAAGCTTAATAATGGCATGCAATGCCAAGCTGCGGCTTCTAAAGCGAGCAAAATCATCTCTTGTATTAAAAGAGGTATAGACTCCAGAGAGAGAGAGATATCATATTACCCCGGTACAAATCATTAGTAAGACCTCATCTGGAATATGCAGTTCAGTTTTGGGCACCAATTCACAAAAATAATATTGGGGAACTGGAGAAAGTACAGAGAAGGGCAACCAAACTGATACGAGGCATGGAGAGATCAGCTATGAGGAAAGATTAGAGGAACTGAATTTATTCTCTGTTGAGAAGTGGAGATTAAGGGGAGATATGATCAACATGTATAAATACATCAGTGGTTCATATAGTGAACTCAGTGTAGAGCTATTCACCCTGAGGTCATCACAGAGGACAAGGGGGCACTCTTTACGTCTGGAGGAAAAGAAATTTAATCTCCAAACACGGAAAGGTTTCTTCACAGTAAGAGCTGTGAAAATGTGGAATAGACTCCCTCAGGAGTTGGTTCTGGCCAGCTCAGTGGATTGCATTAAAATAGGCCTGGATTCTTTCTTAGATACACCGAATATAACTGGATACTAACATTTTTAGGTAAAGTTGATCCAGGGAATATCCTATTGCCTCTCGGGGGATCAGGAAGGAATTTTTTCCACTGCACGAGCATATTGAATCATGCTTTGCTGTTTTTTTTGCCTTCCTCTGGATCAGCTGTGGGTATAGGATTATAACATTTTTTTGGTTGAACTGGATGGACTTTTGTCTTTTTTTTTTAGCCAGACGAACTATGAAAGTGAAGAAGTTACTAAAGTTACGAAAATTCTTGTATGACAGAATAAAGTGATGTATTGTATTGTGTTTATATCATACTAATTAAACGGAAATCGTACGATCTGGTATCATACGAAAAAGATTTTCAGTCCTTTTCGAATAGTTTTGGATGAAAACTGTATACTAACAATCAGATTATTGTACAGTCACTTCAAAAGCGATATTTTTCATATGATTTTCTGATCGTGTGTACTAGGCTTTAAAGAGACACAACTTCTTCCTGCCCTGCATCCTGTGCTTATACCCAGCACTTCTGGGTAGGGGGGTACATGTGAGCTGTTCCCTTGTTACAGCGTTTTGGCCTAGCTAACAATAGTTAGGTCTGAGCACTGTCATATGATTAGGGGGACTGGGTCACCGACATTGCTGAATTCAGCACTGGCTGCAGAAAAAGAAGGTACTAGGAGGAGGTGCAGGTAAGGTGAGTATCGAAGTCTACATCTTAGTGTGTAGCCCAATCCTAATATTCAGGCTGCAGTGTAGAGCACTTTCTTCTGAGCTATCTTTGATTAACACTGCAGAGGTAAAGCCATATCTCTGCTTGTTAATGCAGCCCTTAGTAGTGAAGCCATAGGATAATCATGACAGCTAAGGAGCCTGCAATTTGTAAGGAAAAGAAGTCAGTTCCGGCGAAAAGTCAGTTCCGGCAGCCCCATATTTCTGCCATGGCAGGTTTACTTAACACTTGCTCTCTATGCTGTTAATGTGCCTAAATCCAGCACTGTAAACATTTATTCAGTTTTGTAAAAGACCAGTGCCAAGGCCTCCTTCATTTAGTACTTTTCCAGCAACTCCACCTGCCACTGTGTATTAGGTTACAGTTTTCAGTATGGGTCTTCAAGGAATCCTCTGACACATCAGATGGTTACAGGAAGATGGGATGTAGACGTACAGGATGGTGTGAGACTTTTCATAGAGATGAGTTCTATCTGTGCATGCAAGAAAGAAGAATTTAAAGTGTTACTAAACCCTGGACCCCGCATTCACTATATCTGGTCTCCCGCAGTACACAGAACATGGAAGTGCAATTATTTTAGTAAATATAAACTACAAAATACCTTTTCTCATCAGCAGTTAGAGCAGTCTTGTGACTTCTATCAGTGTTCAGCCGAGCACTGGTTAAAGCTTGTAGGATGAGTTTTCTTTCTGATCTAGGAGGATGCAGAACCCCTGACCTGTCTGGACAGCACTGATTGGCCCTGTGCTGATCATATGCACTCTCCCAAAGAAAAAAAAAAAAACCTCTAGCCATGCACACTAAACTGAGCATGTGCAGAATGGCTACGGGTTCAGTGTGTCCTATCAGGAGACAAGATGTAGACATTTGAACAAGAGGAGGAGCAGAGAAGACCGATTCAAATGGCTTTTTCACACAATGCAGAAGATTAACCCCTTAGGTTCCACAGTGAGTATAACGAGCATGCTTTACTTCATATACAGACTGATTTTACTGTTCTGGGTTTAGTAACACTTTAAGACCTCACCTAATACAGGTTATCCAAATGGTGGATATCCATGTGTATGTGATTTTTATTTTTTTTTAACTTTTTGGTGTGATCAGTCAAACTGTATTGAAGCTGTTGGTTTCTTGCCCAGTACTGACTTCAGAATTCACCAAATTGTGATGTTGACTAAATTCGTGGCTAAAAATTGCCACATGCTTGGCAAGTTTTTACTGCATACTGCATGGTTTAATTGTTCTGACAGCCTCCTCTCTTTACCACTAGTTCTGGATTTATCAGATTGGCAGGTTCTAGTAAATTTCTCTCCATCATCTGTTGACCAAATGCTGATCTGGTTATCTGTATCTGGTAACATAAAAGAAAATTGCACGTCTGGGTAGTGTACATATCTTTCACTACTGGATATATTTTAAAGTTATAGGTGATATTTTAACAATTGGATTAAGGTCTAGTTCACACTAGATGCAGTTCAGTGCCCTTTTTTCCTACCTCAAAAATGCTTACACAGTGTTTTCCATGTATTCCTATGGTCCTATTTCATACTAGTGCAGTCAGTTCTAGTCAGTTTTCGATGCAGAAAAAAAAGTAGATGATGCTGCATTTTTTCTTCACAGAACCATACTGGAATATGGCAAACTGCACCAGAACTGCGCGTGTGGTGTGAACTGTAAGCAAAAATGTATCCGGAATGTATCCAGAGTGCGTTTTTGCAGTGTGAAATGGCGGTAAAGGATATAACGCATCAAAACCTTTGTTTTGGATAGAGATTTTGCACACTCCGGTTTTAGTAAATCAACCCCTGTGAGCCCATTCACTCTTGCATTTGTGGGTTATCATGGGTGTTACATGCACAAGGAATAATTTAATATTTTTGGCTACAGATACACGTTCAGCTTTTGGCTGG